TCACCTTGAAAAATCTGGACTATTCGGAAGGCGCAGGACTGATTGTGCTAGCGGTGGATTCAAGTTTCATTGCAGCAGGAGCAGTTTTGGCCCAACAAGAACTAGAGACAGGATTGAATAGACCGGTTTTATACGAGTCAATAGTGTTTTCACCCGTGGAATCCAAGTATTCTCAGCCAAAATTAGAATTATGCGGAGTCTCTCGAATTCTTAAGAAACTGCAAACACTTCTTTGGGGTCAACACTTTGAATTACAAGTGGACGCACAATCACTTATCCAAATGATCAACTCACCTTCACTCCCAAATGCACCAATGACGCGATGGGTGGCCTTTATTCAACTCTTCTCGTTTGACATAGTACATAAGCCGGGAAAAACATTTACTCTACCGGACGCTTTATCCAGAAGACCTATCAGTGATGAAGAGGACGAATTCTATGAAGATCAGCCAGACTTTGATGAAGATGAGCCAGTAATACGTGCAACTTACCAGTTTCGGACATTTTCAATATCAGAGGAACTTTTGGAATGGGAAGCACCGGGATTCTGGATGGACCTTAAAAATTACTTAAGTACAATGAAGCGGCCAACAGGCATGGATCCTGAGGAATACCGGTCAATAAAGCGAAAATCAGTTAACTTCTTTATCCAAGATGGACGACTCATGCGGCGACACTCACCCATGGCTCAACTAGTTATCTCCAACATTTCTTACCAAAGTAAACTTTTGCGAAAAGTCCATGAAGAATTGGGACACAGAGGTTTGGAGGAAACTTATCAACGACTGGTTTGCAGATTTTGGTGGCCCAGTTTGAAGAAGAAAAAAAAGTTGTGGGTTCAAAGTTGTGAGGCCTGCCAGAAAAGAGATGTCTTAGTACCTAGAGAAATCAGGGACCCAACCGGGGCGACGACTATATTTGGACGAGTGGCGTTGGACGTTTGCCATATCAAAGCAGGACGATACAAATATTTAATAATTGCTAGAGACGACCTTTCCGGATGGGCAGAAGCGGCACCACTGGTCAAGTTAACAGCAGCGGCTATTTCTAAATTCCTTCTAGAAGACTGGGTGTATCGATATGGAGCAATCAAAACGGTTACAGTAGACAATGGTCCAGAATTCAAGAATGAATTTATTACGGCAGTGGAAAGCATTGGAGCTAAATTCAAACCAACTACGCCGTATTATCCTGAGGCAAATGGAATGATCGAGAGAGGCCACAGGCCAATCAAAGATACATTAGTAAAGCTGTGTGGCGAATCAGGCGGAAAATGGAGGGAATATTTACCTTTAGTTTTATTTTCAGACAGAATCTCGACGAAAAGGACTACTGGATATTCTCCGTATGAATTGATGTTTGGTCAAAAGGCGGTTCTTCCTGTGGATATCGAAATGGACACTTACCTGGGAATTGATTGGACAGAAATAAGCACTACGGCAGAACTTCTGGAAGCAAGGACAAAATAATTGGAAAGGCGAGATGAAATTTTGGACATAGCTCACCAAAAAATGATGGAAACTCGAGAAAATTCTGTTCGGTTCTTGGATTGAAAAAAGGCGGCTAGATTACGACAACCACTTCAACCCGGGGACCTAGTTTTAACTTATAACAAGAGTCTAGAGGATCAGTGGGGAAAATTATTTGAAAATCGTTGGAATGGGCCATTTAAAGTCAAAAAACAACTCAATGGAGGATCATACATACTGGAAGAACTGGATGGAGTAGAATTAAAAAGGGCTTATGCCGCATCTCACATCAAAAGGTTCTACCCACGTGGACGTCCTTTGGCAGAAATTCGGGACGAAGAAGACTCACCTTCAGATTCAGAGCATAGTTCAGAAGGTAGCTCAGACAGGGACTCGGACACTTCAGAATAAAAACATTTCTTTTCATATTTTTCTCTGGAGTTTATTCTGTAATTCTAAGTCAGTACCATCATCATACAAAAAACTCATAAAGTATAAAAACAGCTGGAAATAAGACATAAAGTACCAAAAATATACCACATACTAGTCATTTTTTCTTGAGTTGGGGGAGGAAACTCCACATTCTTTTTCTTTAAAAATTTGTTTCTCACAATAGTTCTTCTCACTCAAACTTACTTAAAGCCAAGATGGTTGAGGACAACCATCAGAGTTGGGGGAGGGGGGTCTGAGATAGTAGTTTGGGAAAAATTAAAAATTTATTTACTTAGAAATTTAAAAGAATAAAAAGAGAAAAAGTGTAACTAATAATAACTCAAGTCAGGAGGATACAAATTTTTTTGGGGGTTTAGAAGAGTTTAAACTTTTTTCTATTATTTTGTTACCTTTTAAAGATTTTTTTGGGTTTTGAAGAAGAAAAGTGGAAAACAAATAACTTAGAACTTTCTGGTGCTCAAATAAGTGGATCTCTTGTTTCTAAAGAACCACTGCATGTTCTCAAAGAACATCACCCGGCGGTCGGATTCAGCTAAAGAGGAGGGAGGGTATTCTGAGCACATATCCACATACTCCGGCGCAATACCCTCGAAGATGCGCATGACGTCTTCCTCGGTGTAGATACAGACGGCGGTTGGTGGAGTGTTGTCGTCGAGGAGGAGTTTTTGGACTCCTTGGTGGTTCAAGTTGATGTAATTGGACATGAGCGGATAGGTGGACAAGGAATACGAGTCGTTGGACAAAGATTCAGAGCTAGACGGTTGAGACGGAGCCGGGACAGGAAGGTTCAGGGTGCGAAGGAAGGGAACCGGAAGGCCAGGAGGAAGCTCGGGGTCGTGGACGTTCCACGGGACACAGACGAATGGGTGCGGCTTTGGAAACAGTCGAGGGATAGGTGCTTTATCCGGGATCGAAGACTGAAAGAAGGGGCTATCAGCAACACAGATGAAAGGATGAAACGAAAAAGAAACAACTTACACAATCATAGCGGCGAGACGGGTCATTAATCGCGTGCCACTTATCCTTCAAAGGGAAGTAGTGGGTCCTGGTCTCTACAATCTCCATCCCCTTTGGGATGTAGACCAATGAGGCAGAGCAAGCGAGCTCGGATGGAAGCTATACAAAAACCAAAGGACAAATTAGCAAGGCGAGATAGAGGCAACAAGGAAAAGTAGAGGATAGACTTACGATGGTGTTGATTGAGGCTGGATCAACAGTGGCCTCAGCAGGCGGCCCTTTATCCTTTGCATCCATGGTCTAGAACAGAGACAATAATGCAGATCAGCCTAGGTCAAGACAAAACAAGAAACAATAAGGGAGGACGTACCGGTTTGACATCGATGGGGGTCTTGTCATCAACAGCGTCAATCGGGGCCTTGTCGCCAACGGCGTTATTGTCGGGCTAGTAATAAGTAACAGCCAACAGAAACATTCAGTATCAGAGCCACGTATGATGAGAAGAGAAGGTAGACTTACCACAACATTAGGATTGAAGACCGGACTCCATTGGTCGCGATCCGGATAGTAACGCACACCAATCTAAAAAACCGATGCGTTAGAAACAACATCAGTGAAGGAATCCGATCCGATGAAAAACGGAAGGAAATAAGCATACATCGATGGACGGGTCAGAACGCCCTTCGCAGTAGAAGTCATTTGTGTCGCAGTTATCGAAGATCGACGACATAGTATTGAGGGTTGAAGGAAGAAGTGAAACGGAAGAACAGGCTTGATAGAGGCAGGGGTAGTTGGAAGTGGAGTGATGGCAGCTAGCTGGGGATGGGAACTGATGAGGAGGGAAAGAAACCGAGGGGGAGAGACTACCTTTTATACCCGAGAGGATGGCTGGAGGAATGAGCCCCTCAGGGGGGATACATACCCACAGAAGTTTCCAGTAGCGGCGATGCATTCGGGTGGAGGTGCTAGCGTGAAGGGGTGGCAAGAGCGATGATCGAACGATGTGGGGATGAATAGATCTGAGGCAGAGGGTTTTTTTTTGGATACTAGATTACACTAAGGCTCAAGACAGAGTCAAGGCCGGGTGATAGCAGCTGAGAGCGGGCAAAGGATAACAAATTAGAAGAAGACCGAAGAACTCACCTTGACGACAAGAATACAAGCTCCCCATAAAACCACTAGCGCGGTCAAAGAACTGGGTACCAGAAAGTATGGAGTAAACGAGTCGGACAGAAAGTGGCGTGGAGCAATGAACACAACAGAGACAATCCGTCAAGATGCGGCTATCAGCAAAGACTCCAAGAGAGATTCTAAACACCAAAGAGAAGAGATACTAAACAAAAATAAAATGACTTACCCACTGCTGAATAAGAGCACAAACGTCGCCGAGGCCAGCGCTAGTGGCGGATAAAGATCGGGGACGACGTCATACACTGTTGGAACCTAGCAACTGTCAAACTGGGGAAGATCTAAAAAGGGAGAGAGAGAAGTCAATCGTACTTACCTGTTGAAAAAGGATCGACAAAGTGACGGGTCGGTCAAGTTACGAGGTCGAAGTCGAGATTTGGTGGCGGTCGGTCGAATTCCAACAGAGAGAGATAGTGACGGATTGACCAATTGAGAAGGGTACCCACGGAGAGGGAGGAGCTATGGCGGGAGGACACAAGTATCGCCGATCGGGTCCTGTCACATCTGTGACAGGACTAGTACACCTTGGACAAGGGCGAAAACGATAACAGTTTCAAATTGAGTGGCCTCTCAACATTCACTGTAGTCGACACGACGCGCAATCGGCCTAAGAAAGCAGACTTTCTTGGCACACAAGAATTCAGCACACATGTAGCTTTTCATGTCCCAGGTTTCTTTGGCTGATTTTTTTTGTTTTTCTTTGGCTTTTATTTTCTTTGGCTGATTTTTTTTTTCTTTGGCTGATTTCTTTTTCTTGGGCTGATCTCCTTATTCTTGGGCTGATTTCTTTTTCTTTGGCAGATTTTATTTTCTTTGGCAGATTTTTTTCTTTGGCTGTTATCATTTTTTTTGCCTGATTTTTTTTTCTTTGGCCAAGTTTTTTTTTTTTTTGGTTCCTTTTCTTGTCCTATTGCGTGAATGAAGTTGCCAAAGATGTCAGTGGGAATGGGCTCACCAGCACACATCCTATCAATCAAAAAAAATCAAAATACAATGATTCTAACATCTCAAGCCAACATTGTTACAAGTTGTCAACAAGTTCTGAAAGTCATAGACCTGTCCAACCTAATCAGTCTGTTCAAACGTTGCACAGAAAGTGAATGGTATCAGGTCACTGAATTTGGCCTGTCTGAGCTCACCAAGAAAGTGCAAGACACCCTGGATGCCTGCAGGCCGAAATCAGATAGGCATCCAACCAAGTCACTGAGTGTAAGGATTGTGTATCAATCCTTCACTGTATGTTGGAAAGGCACTAGCAAGGAGCTCAATAGCTCCAGCGGGGACATTTCTAGTACCGGAGTGGATTGAATTTGAGTTCATACAGCAGTGTAAGCCTGTGAGGAGCAGGGCTTACACTGAGACAATCACAACAGATGATATTTTGTTGAACATGGAGAAGGAAAGAGAACAAGCTTGTTAGAGAATATAGCTTGAGTAAAGGTTCATTGGGATGGAAAGTAAATGTGAATAATACAAGTTCTTATAATCAGGTTGAGATGTACTTCCATTGTAATTATTGTGAGCTAGAAAATTATAAGAAAACAGCAAAAGATGTATTCAATTCATCTTTCTCATGAGGAGCTTATCAAGGATGAACCCATGCAGTTTGACGAGTTCATCTTGAAGGAATTCAGAAATTGTGGTACTTTTCACAAATTTTGTATTATGTACAAGCAGACACCCCTATGCAGCAAAATTGTACAGCCTTAATGGCAAAAATATTCACTGAGTTTCAGATTAAATACGGTGTCAGGGATGTTGGCCACAAACAACAGCTTGGGAATTGCCACTACACCACATTGAAAAAAACCATACTGTAAAGAAAGTCAAGTTTGCTAGGAAACAGCTGTCACACTGTCACCAAGTGGAATTTCAAAAGGTGCCACTGAGTTTTGAGTGAAATACACATGTTGGGGTGGCTGGTCATCAAGGGAAGCTTGGTAATTTCCCCTATTTCAAAGTTGAATACATTCCATGCTTCAAAAAAAAACAAGTTTGAAATGATGGTATACTAGGAAACAGCTTTCACATTTCCACAAAATGTAACATTTACCAGTGTCTCCACATCTTTCATCCTCCAAGGGGAAAGGTGCAGGTTTTTTATCAGTGAAGTGAAAAGGTCAGTGTAGAAATTTCCTGCTAGCTGCTAGCAAGGGTAAGTTCCAGATTGCTCCTTTTTAGGGAAAAAACTGTCTAACTGCCATCAAGTACAACTTGAAGGATTTCAATTGTCTCCACATAAATTATTGCACAACATTTCAATTTGTGCATGGCTTGTACATAATCTTAAATTTGTGAAAAGTAGCTCAATTTCTGGATTCCTTCCAGATGAACTCCTCAAACTGCATGAGTTCAGAAAACAGTTCATCCTTGATAGGCTCCTCATGAGAAAGATGAATTGAGAAAATCTTTTGCTGCTGTCTTATAATTTTCTAGCTCAATATCATTACATTGCAGGAAGTACAGTGGGTGGACCAATTTTTTTGGCTGATTGTTTTGGATCCCAGAGCTTCAAAGCACCAGATTGAAGTCATGAGACATGGTCCAGTGGTTCAGATTAAGTCCCAAAAAATGAATAAGATGAATAATGATAAAAAAAAGTTTCAAAATTTGTGAAAAATTAAAATTAAAATAGATTTTTTCAAAAGATTCAATATTTATTTTCGGAAAGTGTGGGTACTGAACAAAAGAAAGAATGGAAACTGGGAAGAATGATTATAAATGAAAATTTTGGAAAAAAAATGGTTACAATGTTTTCAAACAACTGTTGAGGGGGACATTCACCAGCACAGATTGTGGTAAAGCACTAGAATTTACTGTTTTGACTAGAGATTGTTCTGTGGTACCTGTTGTTAGGTACCTAGTACCGCTTGGCGGTAACCGCTTCAGTCTCTTATGTGACCAGGAGTTGATGGGTAAAGGTCACACTATAGCCAAGAGGGCCAGTGGAAATAAGCCTCACCTTGACACTTATAAAGTGGAGGGGCTAGCTCCTTATAATTATAAGGGACAACAGTGGAATGAGCTTCACTGCGCCTGAACTGAGGGATTAGGATAGTAACAGAGAGTAACTAGTCTGTAAGTAATTACTTAACTCTTATAGACTAGTTCTGAGAATTAAGAAAGTTGTACAACTAATGTAATAGACTATTGTAAAAACCCCACTCACTATTTATTATGATGTAATATTTAGTAAGGTTATTGGGTTTGTATGGTAATAATTGTCTGGGGGATGAATCTCAGGGGAAGAGTCATCCTCTTAAATATTACAGAGCAGGGGTCAAACTGCTGCTGGGACCGGTACATTCCCCTTATTGGTGCACTATTCCTTGGGGAAAGTGTCAGGATATTCAGAGCATGTTGAATGTACATGTGCTGAATATCTTTTATTTCAGAAAATGCACATAAGAGAGATAAACAGAATATATATTCACACAAGAGAGATAAACAGGATAATCATCTCTTGGATGCACCCAAGATATAATTATCATTTTCAACTTGAATATTATTTTCATGAAAGAGGTAAATTAATAAAGAGGTAACTCTTACAATATTTATTAACATAAATAATACATGTAAAAAAGAATAACATTACTGTATAATTATTAACTTAAATATTACATACAATAATATTTGTTATGTAACCCAAGGGGGTTACATTCTATTGTAGACACCTGGGCTATTTTCTCAGTGTCTGACAGCCCACACCCGCTGGGCACCTGCCAGAAGGTGCCAGGTGCCAGTTTTATTGGCCAAAAAAGGGGTAGTACCCGTGTACCGCCCATTCCCACCCGCCAAGAATTGTCAAAGGTTCTCATTGGGATGGTTTTCTCCCAACAAGATGGCTCTAAATCTAGCGTGTGGGCAGGACACCCTCCCAATGAGCTGGATTGTGTACCAGCTCATTGGGAGGGAAACCTCTTGATGAGCTGGTGTGTAGTTCAGCTCATTGGGTACCCTTCCCCCCTCAACACAACCTTCCCAACAAAAACTTACTTGAACCACCTTACAGTGCTCCAATCAGCCTTAACTCTGGTCAGACCCTTTATATGACATTTATCCCTCAGTATAGTCATCACTGCAGTTGTCCAATTATAACCTACATCATTTGATTGTTACAAGTTATTCAGACTAGCAACCTAATTACCAAAAATGAAATTTTGATCAATTGTAGGTGCTCTGACCACTTTTGCTTATCTTTGTGAGTGATTGAGTCCTGATCTAATTGGTTTCTGTGCAAGTCAACATTGAGAAAACTAATTCCCACTCCTTTTGTGTGAAATCTTCCCTTTCAGTTGAAGATTTGAGTGCCACACCAGTCTATATTGGTGGAGGAGGCTATGTACCTAATGGAAAAATAAAGGCCCTTCAGAAAAGTGTGGGAAAAACAATCCGCCTGAAACCAAAGAAACCGCTGCCATCTTATACAACCAAGTTCTACAGGGATTGTCGAGCTTTAGTGAAATGTTCAATCAAATCCCTGGGATCATCTTACATACCCGTCATCTTGTGACCCTTTTTTCTTTGTGGATTGCACTCATCACTACCCACTTCCTCCATCAAAATTTCTACACAGATTTTATTTCCTTACTTGAATCTCTACAATCTATCATGAATTGTTATCCTTCCTAAAAAACTCCGGTGGTATTGAAATTATTAACAATATTTCTCATATTAAACTTCATCACTCTTCCTATCAACTTGAATGAGGAATTACCAGCTCATTGGGAGGGTTTCCTCCCAATGAGCTGGTACACAATCCAGCCCATTGGGAGGAAACCCTCCTGATGGCCAGCTCATCAAGAGGTTTTCCTCCCAATGAGCTGGTTTTAAATCCACCTCATTGGGAGGGTATCCTCCAGATGAGAACAGCCCTTCTGTTCCCACCTGCCAACTTCTTGGCAGGTGTTAACGTGACGTGCAGGCCAACACACCATCCATTTTTGGTGTGTTTGCCGGCACACCCTTTTTTAGGGAGGTGCCCGCCTAGAAAAGGGTGTGCAGGCCCACACATCAAAAGATGATGGTGTCACACCCACACACCAATTTTGGTTTGTTGTGTGGGCAACATTAATTGTGAAAAAAATGAAAAAAAAAACTCACCTGGGACTCTGGGAGTGAACACTGAAAAGAATAGATATCAATAAAAGTGACCAAAAAATGAAAAAAGAGACTTGGGACTGTGGGAGAGAAAACAATAAAATGAAAAAAAAAAATGACTTGGGACTCTGGGAGTGAAACTAGGTGAGAAAGAGAGAGGGGAGGTACCTGTGGTACCCGCCAAAAGTACTGCCGGTACCCACCAGGAGGTGCCAGGTGTGGTACTGTCAGCCTCTATGCTACTAACCTGTAAGGGTTGTGCTCTGAGTGTTAACAAGTATGGTAAGTGGGAAGGTTTATTCGTGGTTAAATCCCTCAACCTGTAAAAGAAACAGGGAGGAGTCAGTGAGGAATGGTACTTCTACTGCTGACTCATCCAATTATTTAATTGGGCATCCAGATCAATCCTCTTGTATGGATTAATAGGCTTCCAAGATGAGGACTTCTTCAACTCACTTGGGATTAGTCTTTTAACAACAATCTAGATTAATAAGTGTATCAACACTTAAGGACCAGAATTGTTTAACCTGGGGGATAATTCTTTATGCAATAGAGATAAGTAGATATGCCTTGAATCTGAGCAAAGTAAATCTATTTAGGTCTAAGGTAGCTGGTTTGTAAGGTTATTGGTGGTTTGAATCACTAATAAACACGGTACAAGTGTTGGTTTGATGCTACTAGAATTTCCTTGGGGGAAAAGGTAGGAATCAGGGCTCCTTAAATATTCTACAGGAGGCTCAGGGGAAGATGAGAGGCCCTCAGGGCACTAGGGAGCTTCTTAGCAGCTCTACAGTTTCGTGTAAGGATGGGAGCTGTAGCTGTGCAGTGCTATGCATGGGTGGAAGGTCCTAGGACATGAGATCATACATGCATAATTGAGTTTTGTGGCCTATTTCTCACGTAATTTAAAGGGCTACATTTACTGTGCAGGGGCTGTGCAATTGTAGAGTTGTTTGCATACGTGTAACTCTGCTTATGCAAGCTTGTGATCATGAGAAATGCATGTCCTTCATGCATAATTCAGTCTTGCATGTAGAATTTGGGCTCCTTTCCCGTGTAGGCTGCTTTGAATTATGCAAGCTTTGAATTAGAGCACAAAAGGGTCCTGATGACGCCATCCAAGAGGGTTATGATGAAATCTGATGCCCTGAT